TGTTTGTGAATAGGATCACAAGTCCGCATCTTGTACAGCAATTAACCACTAAGAAGAATATATGCAGTGTATTATTTGTTGAAACTGTCCTTCCGATTTGATTTGAAACTGTCTCATTGCTATCTGTTTGTCAATAAAACTTTGGAAAAAAAAAAAAAAAAAAGAGGTGGTAAGCCTGTAAGAGGCATTTTGGATCATGTGGGATCCACTCTTACTAATGGAAGGGGTTAATGTAGTTCCCACAAGAGTGGACTAGTTCTCTTGAGAACAGGTTGTTGGAGAGTAGGCAGCCCTCTCCCTTCCCACCACCGTGTACATGGTGGTGCACACTTGCCCTTCCACTGCCCACCATAAGCTAAAGCAGCACAAGGCCCTCACTAGAAGATAAGCAGATGCAAGGGCCAGCCAGATAGCTCAGCAGACTAAAGTGCCTGCTTAAGTAGAGCACAGAAGCCGGGGTTCGATCCCTGGTGTGCCGTACGATTGAGACTGGGCGTGGTGGAACATGCCTGTAATCCCAGCACTTGGGAGGCTAAAAACAGGAGAATCACTACAAGTCTGATCTACCTAGTAAGACCCTGTAGAACCTGTGCTAAATTAAAAAAAAAAAAAAAAAGTAGTTGCCATCAAGATGAGTTTGAACTTCTAATCCCCAGAACTGCAAGTTAGAACAAGCCTATTTTCTTTATGAATTACTTAGTATAGAAAACAACTAAGAGAGGCAATTTCACTGTACATGCTAGAATGGTATTCAGGGAAGAAAAAAAAATCTACTTTTGAAATAACCCAGATTTCACCTGGTGAAATCTTACCGATCAGCAGTTGAACTCTTCTGAGCAACACATCTCTTCATTAGCCTGAGAAGCAGACCTATTCCTCCTGGGACCCTGTCCCACGGGCCCTTCACAACCTGTCTGTGAATGGTCTTCTAGACTACACCCCAGAGGCTGGAACAGATGCCTTCCTCTTATCACCGGGTGCTGGATGTTGCTGGGAAAATCTCTTGCCAGGCCTTAGTCTTCCTTCCTATCTGTACAACAGGAAGGCTGACCTATGGCCGAGAGGTCCCTTAAATCTTTGGACAGTTGCCCGTGTGCTGCTAGATCTCACCTGGGCAGGAGTCAGGCTCAGGGTCTGGGCTGGGGATAGGGGCCGGCGGGATTTGCCATACTCACTCAGCCATGGTGAAGGCCAGCTCAAAGTTCTTCTGCCGCTGTGTGGGGCTCAGGGCGTTGTAGTCAAAGGCGTCGGGAAAGAAGGAGTGTACCAGGGCGCAGAAAGCCATCCCATCGCTCCAGCTGGAGGAGAAGTTCTGCAGGTCCACATGCTGCGAGCAGGGCAAGTGGGCATCAGTACGGATGCCCACCTCAGCCCCCCACATCCAATGAGTCCCACGAGCAGATACTCCCAGGCCCTCCCTAAAGCCCATTACCCGCCCTGCCCAGCAGCAAATGTCATCACCAGACCCCAGCCCTTCAGGTGCACTAGACTGGTCTTCCTGGGCCTAAATCTGGATTCTTCCAATTTCTAACTGCCTGTGGCAGGTGGCTGGGATGATTTCTCTGGATCCTACCCTATCCCCAGCCTTGGAAGCCCAGGGGGATAAAAGCAAAAGGCCATAATGTCTGCTCTGACCTTGGGCTGGGCTTACCTGGTAGCCCAGGGTCTTGCTGCGGCACCACTCGAGCAGGATCTGCTTGATGCTGCTGGCACTGGCCACACCAAAGCTCTGTGACCGCTTCAGCTTAGCACGAGCCTCACCTTTGCCCCTACGGAGAGAAGGTAGCCCTGCTGGGGGGCCGAAGGGAGCACATTCCCAGGCCACCTAAGAAGACCCCACCTTAGTGCTCTCGCTCAGGGCGATACTGGCTAACACCATACACCACCCAAACAGCCCCCTTGGACCTGTCTGGCAGGACAGTCTCCCGCTTCCAGACCTCCAGGATCCCGTGTGTCTCCCACAGCAGGAGGCAGAGTTTCTGGAAAAACCTGAGACAGAGGACCTGAGCCAGCATGGCCTCATGCCCTTGTGCTCTTCCTGGTCCACCTTCCTCCATCTCATCCTCCTTAGGAGCCTCTTTGATAGAGACCTCCTTCCTGGATGGCTCTCTCTTAGCCAGAAGAGATGGTCCCTTCCTTGGGGCCCCAGGACCCTCTTTAGCAGCCTTGGTCAGGTTGCCTGGGGTCAGGGGGAAGCTTTCTGGATCTGACTCCCTCACTGCAGTCCAGCTGTCATCCATCATCACAGAAGGCCTGGGTCACAAACTGCACAGAGCAGGTGCCAATACACTGCCGAGATGACTAGATAAATATGCAAAGGCAGGCAGTAGCCCAAGGACACCTCTGCTAAAAGGGCATGGTAGTGGTCAGTAGGCTCCTGCTGATGGCGCCTCATAAGTCCTCAGGCAAGCCTGGCCCCTTAGTGGGGCACCCAGCACTAGCCCCTGTAGCTTCCCCAGTCATGCCACAGCCCATGAGGAATTCAAGTGTAGAGGCTTGGGTCCCTGGGGGTGCTGAGGACTAGGGTGCCACAGAATGGACAGGAGAGGTCTTCACCAGGCCTGTTCTGGCTACTTGCCCCACAGCCTTCACCTCCCCGCAACTAGTGCCCCTTGACGTACCCCTGCCCACCCTGTGACCCAGCCTGACTTTGACTTTGCCAGAGGGGGGAAACAGGACAGGGCCCAGCCTTCCTATGCCTGCCTATCTGCCTATAGGCTGGGCTGAGCCTACTTGGGGGACAGGCTTGATGGGCGCAGGAGATCCATACTTGCCCGCTGTATCTTGCTCCCACTTCTCAAACAACGCCTTCCGGGCCTGTGCCCCTGAGGTGCGGGGCAGTGTCTGTGACCTCACCAGCTCCCTTCGACGCTCCCCCTGGTGAGAGGCCTGAGTTGTGGCTGGCAGCTGCGGGGACAGAGGCGACTGGGGGGATGTCACCAAAGGTAGACTAAGAGAAAAGCATCAAGTCAGGAACACAGACCCAGGCAGCTCTGGCTTCCCTGAGCCTACATCTGGCCCCTGCACTCTGTCTGTGAGATGGACTGGAGCCTTGCTTGCCCCAGTGTTCAACTGGTTTGGCAGGCTTCTAAACAGTGCTGCTGTCTGAAGCCATCAGCCCCAACTGGGGAGGAAAGACGGGCCCCTCTCTGGGCATAACCTTCCCTTGGCATGCATCTGTGCCTGGGGAGACAGGGGCACAGCCTCCTTATGCAAGAGGTATGCCCAGGCCAGCCCCACCAGGACAGCCCCCCCCACTACTACTCCATAAGACCCCCTTTGTTTTCCATTGGAACAACATGCCAGGCAGTCACAATTCTCCTTTTATTATAAAAAGGGGGAGCCAACCTTGCCAACCCACCTAGTTGCGACCACAGTTCACAGACCTGGGGAGCACAGAGCCCCACGAGACCTGTAGGAGGTCTGTACCAAGGGGAAGCCCCGCTGCCTGCCCCAGCAGCCCACAGGCCTTTTCAGGCAGCTGCTCAGAGAAAGTAAAAGGCCCTCCAGCCCTTCTTCCTCCCTGAGTGCTAAGACACATGCATGCACGTGCATGTGCGCGCGCACACACACACACACACACACACACACACACACAGCTGCAACCTTCTCTTTTTTAAATGTTAGGAGTCAAACCCAGGGCACCATGCATTCTAGGAAAATGGTCTTATCACTGAGCTACATCCTAGCTGGCTTCTTTTGTTTGGAACCCAGAACAGTTGCACCAAGCTACCTCCCCAGCTCTTTTTTATTTGTATTTGTATTTTGAGACAGGGTCTCACTAAGTCACTAACTTATGCAGGCTGTCCTTGACCTTGCAATCTCTTACCTCAGCTTCCCAAGTAGCTGGGGTTGCACATCTGCGATCCTTTTTTTTTAAATTTTAATGATAGCAAGGTTTTATATTTTATTAAAAGCAGGAAAATAAAGGTGCTCTGTGGAGTGAGTACAGACCAATCAAAAATAGGAAAAGAAGCACGCTTGTGTAGAGTGGGTCACTGACAGAAAGAACACAGAGGCTAATGAGGTTAACGGTGACTCTCCTTCGTGTCCTCCGTTCGGACAGCAGATCTCGGCCATCCTATCAAAAACGTGCTTGAGTTTGCACCAGATGAAGTTAAAAGCAGCATTTTCTGATTGGTCGCTAGTGTGGAGCTTGGAACTTTTTCTGTGCGTGGGACCTGGATTTTTGTGATTGACGTGGTATGCCTACTTGCCCAGCTGGCTGGCCATGCCCTAATCTCTCGCCTCATTTTACCATAAGAAACATAAATCCCCCACAATTCTTCACAGGACGCTGAGTCCACACCCTCAATCTTCTAATTGACCTGCTTAGAAGGGCCCAAAGAGGAGTGAGTCTGCTGCAGTGCCTCTCCAACAAATCCTCTCCACCAAGGCAGTGGCCTCGCCTCACCCTGACCTCTCCCTGCTCCTACCCTACCACTAACCCAGCTGCCTTAGCTCTCCACAGCTCCAACTCTCAGGAAGACAACGAGCTCCCTATAGGGGATGTGGGCAGCCTGGTCCCAGAGGAGGCCACCTGGGAGCAAGGAACTCACCTGTCCTTGCACTTGCCTGCTGCCACTCCCCTGTAGCCAAAGCTTGGCAAAGACCGAGTGAAGGAAGAATTCTTCTCTGTGGGATGAAAGAAGGAAATAAGACACTCAGCCTTAGGAAGGCCAGCCACAGCTCCTTGCCTTTGGCCAAGCCCTGTCCATTTCCCCAGCATCACCCGGGGGACAAGCAGGAACCCCTGGACTAAGCTAGCTCTGCCTCAGTCAACAGAGGAGAAAGGAGGATGGGGACATATACAGCAATGACATCAAAGAGGTCCTTTAATTTTAAAAGACCTTTACCCTGTTTGAGGGCACAGAGCCTGAGGCCTCTTATGCTGTGTGGCCACTGAACACTGTCCCCAAACTCTCCTTTGAAAGCCCATATCATGCCAGCCCAGGACACATCGCTGAAGCTGACCACAGGCCCAAAATAGGCTGGGGTCCTGAGGGGGCACAATACCCAGGAAGGGGACTGTGCCAGTGTGCAAGATAACCAGGGCCTTGACCCATCATGAAAGCCATGGCCTTCCCACAGAGGATGACCGTGTGTCATGATATCTGAAAGAGAATTTGGCAAGGTCAGATCCCTTTGGCAAAGCAGATGGAATAAAGGAAGGGGTCACAATAATGGGCAGAAGTGGGATGGGGCTTGGCCTGGGTTTCCTGAGTGTCCTGCAACCCCCAGCCCCTGTCCTCCCTCCCTCACCATGAGGTGGACAGACCCCCATGACATGAGCCCCTGTCCTCCCTCCCTCACCATGAGGTGGACAGACCCCCATGACATGAGCCCCTGTCCTCCCTCCCTCACCATGAGGTGGACAGACCCCCATGACATGCTCTCCGATTCATACCAGTGGTACTGGGAGTCCAAGGGGTGGAGTCCTCTTTGGTGCTGGGGCTAACAGCCCCCAGGATGGCAGCAGATGTGGGTGACAGAGCAGCCACTGAGGTCTCCCCAGAGAACTTCTCAGAGACACGGGTGACAGCTGTGACGGGCTGGTGGGGCAACTGCAAGGGGAGGCTCACAGGGCGAGGCTTGGGCTCTTGCGCTGAGGTTTGGGCAACCTCGGTCAGGCTACTGCCTGGACCTGGAATATGAGGCAGGAGAGGCAGGTCAGCTGCATAGGGCACAGGAGCCTTGGACACAGCACCCAGGAGGCTCCAGCTTCCGTGAGCCCTTCTCTTCCAGGAAAACCTCCCTGACAGTTCGAGCTTCCTAACCTCCCTTTCTGAGGACATCTTGCTGTTCCACCTGGAAGTAATTCTTCCCAATTTTCCCCTCACAGCAAATTCAATAGATAGTAGTTGGCTTATCAGTTCCCTCTCTTCAATATCTGGACAATTCCTCAGCCCCTGCTTGCTTTTCTCCAGAAACAGGGAGGCTCACTGCCTTCTAAGATCTCCAATTTCCTTCTGTTTAAAAAGTTCTGCTACACTGACAAAAGGATGTACAAAGGGCAGTACAGGGCTACAGGATAAATCCTGAGAGTACTTGGCTGACCTTATCAGACACAAAAGTTACATTTCTTGTTATATAGGTCTTGCTATATCTTGGTTTTAACCATCCAGCAGAAAAGTATAAAAACAAGGTATATAAAGTAAATCCATATTAATACGATGAGCTGTAAAAGGCTCAAGTCAATAACTTCTGAAGATAACCCTCTAATATTATAGACTGCTAGACAGTGTTAGATTGTTTAGTTGAATTCAAACACCTATAGTATTTAGATGCCAATAGAATATTCACCTCTGACAGGACAAAATAAATAAATAAATATCTAAAAAGATACAAAGGAAAGATCATTTTGTATTTATATATACAAAATAGGATAAATTTACAGCTACTTTCACTTAATGAGAAGAAAGAGGTGTACTAACAGTGTTTGGACAGAATATCCTGTCTGCTTCTTGTACTATGGATAACCACCAAGAAGATAACAATGTACGGTGTATTGACTATCAAAACTGTTGTATTAATCAGCTGTGAAACTGTCTCATTTATATTTATTTCTCAATAAAAATTTTTTTTAAAATTCTTCTTAAAAAGGCAAAAAAAATTTAAAAAATAAAAGTTCTGCTATACAATGAATTGGACTACTGCTCTAGAATCCTCTCTGCCTGCTGGGGTTTAGACTCACGTTCCCTACTCCCTCAGTCAAGCATGGCAGGCACAAATACCTGGCTGAGACCCTGACCCCCAAGCCTACCCAAATACCTCCCCTCTGCCCTCAGCCCCTACCTGCACCAGGCTGGTGTCCATTCTCAACGATGCATGAGTTTGAAGTTCGTCTCATCTCAGGCTCTCCAGCTTCATGATCCACACTCTGCAGGCACATGGATGTCACTGGGGTCCCATCAACAGAGACCAGCTGCCCTCCCCAAAACCAGTTCCCAAAGTTCCTTCTGGTTCTGGCAGCGTGAACCTCATTCATTTTGAGAAGAAACAGTCCCCAGGTATAATGGTATACCAAGGTCAAGAGCAAGTTGAGATAAACACACCCAGCTCCAGAGCCTCACATACTGAAAGGCAAACACCTCTCCTGGGCTCATCCCAGAGCCTAAAAAAGCTGAGGACAAAGGCCAAGGTTGAGCAGTGTGTCAGGTGGCCCTCCCCCTCCCCCAGCCTGGAGTAGGTGATGAATTAGGACAGCCTGGCCCCTTTTCCTACCAGCTGGGCCAGGCCAGCATGGCTGCACACATGGGGGCAGGAGGAAGTGGAAGGAACAAGGTATTCTGAGGCAAGGGATGGGCAATAAGCCCCTCATGCAGACAGCATAGAAGGACAGACTTCCCAGTGTACAGAGGCTTCACTGGCTCCAGGTCACCCTGCCATTCCCCCATGGGCTGCAGCAGCAGTGAGGAGAGCAGGAGGTGGACAGATAGAGAGGGTGGGGGAGACTGGGGCTCTGGGTGAGTTGCTGGGTAATATCACAGTCCCTAATAAAGAATAGAAGAAGGGTACACAAATGCCATCTGGACATCACCAAACATGAGGCTCATCTCACAGATGGGACTCAATAGAAAGCGCTCAAAGAGGGAACCTATACTGTCCAGGGCTGTAAATGAAAATCAGCCAGGATTGTGACTGCTGACCATGAGTCCTGCTTCCTCTCAGTGAGGGTAAATCAGGCTGAGTGTCATTGGAGCTGGGGTATCAGCTTGGCCAGAGGGAACAATAGCAGACCTCAACCAAGCCTCTACTAAGAGGCCACACCAGGTAGCTTAAAAAATTGGCCTCTCTTCTCCCTAAAGGTCTCTAGCCTGGTGCCATGGTCAACAAGCTTCCCAGCCCCAGATGGCTTGGGTCCTTTGTAACCAGTGCAGTTTGTGCCCACCCTGCCAGGGAGAATTAGGCTGGCAAGTGTGCAGACGGTGCAAGCCAACATGAAGATATGTAAGACAGACTCCACATGGGGGCAGGGAGGGACTCCCAAGGGCAGGGTGCCTAAGCCAAGTCCAGTGTGAGCCAGGCACATGAGCAGAGGCAGCCATTGTCAGCAGCAGGATTGGTGACTGCAAAAACAGAGAGACATGAAGGCCCAGGCATTCTGATCCACACAGCACTGCCACCAACCCAGAGTACTTGCACTCAAGTCTTTAGACAAGAAGGATCCAATGATGGGTTCTAGGGATATCCTTTAGGAGCCAGCGCTTCTAACATGTCAAGAAAAGGGGACACCAGATGACCAGTCACCTTAATAGTCCCAGGCAGAGATGATGTGGGAGGTGATATGGGACCAGGACTCAGCTTTGTGGAGAAAGGGCAGAGTGGATGTGGAGCTGCTCACTGTGACCCACGCCAAGTGATGAAGGAGGTTCTGAAGAGAGGGCAAGGACTTCTGTTGTGGACAGGATGGAGACATCAGGAAGCTGAGGAGTTAGCTGAATATTTCAGCCCAAAGTATAAAGGGAAAGAAGGATGGACAATGGGGAAGCAGGAGCCACCACATCCACAAGGTCCTGGGAGCCAGGCAGAAGAAGAGCACAGTGTTGGTGGGAATCTGGGATGAGGCAAGCCTATCTTGGGAAGCAGAAGAGGTGAGAGCTGTCTGTGGTGGAGGAGGGAAGAAGGGACAGCCAGGGAGGAATGAAGAAGTACAGAAGGGCAGAAGCCAGGAGACAGGCCAGAGGAAAAGGCAATGTACCCAAAGGCGGCCTGAGATCAAGGAAAAGTCAAGGTGAGATGGAAATCACATCACATTTTGCCAAGATGTCACCAGTGATGGCTGTAGAAGCAGAATCAGAAGCACAGGATGCTGTGGGCCAGGAGCCATGCTGAGGAGAAGCTGAGAGGAAGAGTAGGTGGCTTGGGCTGCAAGGTGCTTCTCGGCCATCCAAATCCTGGTCAAGTGAGGTGAGCCGGCAAAAGAGGTCTGAGGAGTTTTTCCAGATGGAAGAGGCAGGACCTCTTTGACAACAGAGAATAGAACCTAGAGCCTGAGAACAGAGGAGCCTTGGGCAGGGGACAACCCTGCAACTTTTGATTCAGGAGGGTGGACAGGAGAGGCCAGACCCATTTGGAGAACTGCTGGAGAAGGGCAGGGATGAGCCCGTGCTCCGAGCAGGAAGGGTGCCCCTAGAAACATAAACCCAATCAGTGAGAGGAGAGAAACCTCCAGTCCAGGTGGAACCCCCTCCTCCACTGTCACCAGGGCCAAGTCAGCTTTGGGGTCTCCATTTCCACCCTGCCCCCCTGCTGTGGTCCAACAGGTTCCACAGGTCCAGGCAGGGGCCTGGAGGAAAAGGCTAATGGTGAAATCATTTTCCCAGGAATGTAGGTCTTGGGAAGGGGAGGGGGCTCAAATGCTTGTCCCTGCACGTTGTTTGCATATCTCTGACCCCCAAGAGACCCCTGGAGACAAAACAGGAAGTAGGCTGTACCATTCTCTATTAGCTGGGTTTCTGAAAAAGGGTCCCTAACACAGGGCACAGGGAAAGAACTGAGCTAACTCAGGCCGGGAAGATTGCAGCAGCTGGGGTGGGGATTGATTCTGGACTCCTGCCTTCCCCTGCCTCTCACCCCACTTTCAGTCTATAACCACTCCTCAACTGCCCATGCTTAAGACCAATGTACTAGTGTGAGACCATCCTCAAGACCAAACCAGCTCGAAGCACAGCAGGCCACCCTTAAACTCACACTGGCTGGAGGCAGTGGCCACATCAAGATTTGGAACTAGGGTCTTCCTCCTCAATCCAGAGCTCTATCTACTAAGTGCTCTGCCAGAGGGCAGAGAGGACAACACAAGACAAACCTGCCTCCCAGGACCTGGGTCAAGCTGAGTCTGCACCCACAAGCCCTGCCCTAGAGAAAACTGGAAGACGCCACCCAGGCAGGATCTCCATAGATTGGTAGCACCAGCGCCAAAGGGCCAAGTCCAGTTAGGTTAGAGCCATGGGACTGAGTCTCCTCCTGGGCGCCTCTGGCATGTTTCCCAGCAGGCATCAGTCTTCTTTGGGTGGGAGCAATCTGCCCCAGCCATGAGTGAGGGGACCAAGGTATTCTCTGAGTGCCTGGACCAGGACAGAAGTCGCAGCAGAGCCCTGGGGTTGCAGACAGGTCCTAGTGAGCTGGTCAACACCCCCAGATTCCCCATGTCACTCTTTTAGGAAGGGGGAGGTGTCTTGTGAGGAAGCCCAGGCCTGGGAACTCGGGAGGAAAGGCAGAGATGAGATAAATCCATTTTCAGAGACTGTGGGAGATGAGACCCTCTTACTATGGGTGTTTGTAAAACATTTTTCAGGGGGAAAAAATATATATTTCGGGTCTTCTCAGTGCTGCCTGATCCATGAGGGCTCACAGATGGAAACGGGAGCCCATGTGTGTGCCCAGCATAGCCCACGCCAGGCAATGATACAGGCTGACCCCATCAACCTCACTGCCTCCGCCCACCTCCACTCACACTACAGTCTTAAAACACTCAGTTCAGACCTCTCCCTAAAGCATTAAACTCTGTTATCACCCGGTGCCTCTGGGAAAGGAAGGCAGATAAGGGAGTCTGGTTTCTTTCATGGTCAGGCCTTTGACACCTGGCTCCTGGCACTTGTTCCTAAGAGACTGTGCTACTTTGGCCATGGGGACCCAGTGGCTCCAGCTTAACTGAGGATGACATTTCCAGGAAACAACTCTGGGCCAGCCTCCTGGGACCCGGGCCTGACCTCAAGGCTGTCATCATCTATACCAGACCCCCAGCAGGCTCCTGGCTCTCTACTACTAGCCAGACAACAGCAGTGGCTCCTGGGACACTTTTGTTAACCAGGTCTATTGGTTCCACCTATCTTGCCTGCTTAACACAGGGGTCCAGCAGGGCCAGTCGAATCCCTTTCGGTCTAGCTATAAGGAAGCTGAGGCCCAACTGGAAGGAGGCCCCCAAGGCCTCCAAGTAAATATTCCAGAAGTACCTCCTGTTTGTTTCAGGGTCTCAGGCTTCCTGCAGTGAGTCCACCCTAATTATTCCCACCATAGTATCCTGTTCTCCTCCCCCAGCTTCCCTGCCCGTTCCTCTGTTGCCCAGCCCCATGTCCATCCATGCTGTAGCAAGATCAAGGTTTATGCCCTCAGAGGTAGATTAACACCAGGTAATCCCAGCACTCAGGAAGCTGAGGCAGGAAGATATTGCAAATTAAAGGCCAGCCTAGGCTACAAAGTAAGTTCAAGTCCAGCCTGAACTGCTTTTGTCTCACAAAGACCAAAAAATAAATAGATTACCTGACCAAACCCTTCTGCATTGAGTTCAAGGTATATCCATATGCCGAGTACAACCTACCTCCAACTCCTACACTCCCCAGTAAAAGGGTTTCAAAATCTCTCTGCTCATTACATAGGAGTACTGTAACATCAGCTTCCACCAGGTTTGGCCACAAACCAAGTAGCACAACCACCCCTAGCTCCTATGCATGGAATGAGACCCTCATACCCAGACCCCACCACAGACAACCAGTAGCCCAGCGCCCAGCTGTGACTCTGTCCACTGGTCACATTCATTTGTCATTGTTGTTGTTGTTTATTTTGAGTCCCAGTAGTTCAGACTGGCTTCAAACTCATGTAATCCTCCTGTCTCAGCTTCCCAAGTGCTAGGATTACAAGCATGCAACACCACACCCAGCCCACACTCTAGTCTTTCCCTAAAGCCCCGAGTCCTTGTTCATGCCCAGGAACCGGATCACAGGATGCTAGCTGGTCACAGCACATGACCCATGATGTGTGCATGCCTCTGCATAGCCCCCTTCACCACCAGAACCTGGGTTGGCACTCCTGAGAGGTGAGCTGCAAGAGAGCGGAGACTGTACTTCAGGAGTCAGACATGGGGAGCTGCCTCTGGCCAAGGGAGCCAGGGCTCTAGGGCTATGTAGCCTCTGGCCAGCTGGACAAGGACCATCCTCTGCCCACTATGCTCAGCTATACTTGCTAACTACTGCCCTGAGTCCTTTCTGGAGTCCATAACCTACTGCCCAGAGCAGTCTCCATCCTCAACCCCAATAGGCTGCAGCTCTTCCTCCAGAGGTTTCCCCTCTGCATTTCTTGTTTGTTTAGACAGGGCCTCACTATGTAGTTCTGGTTGGCCTTGAACTCACTATGTAGCCCAGGCTGGCCTCAAACTCATAGCAGTTCTCCTGCCTCAACCTTTTGAGTGTGAGATTACTGGTGTGCACTTCTATGCCCAGCTTTCCCCTCTGCCTTTCTAAAAGTGGGCACTCTAGGTCCTCCTTGCTCTCTTGCAGTTCCTTGGCCTGGTTGTGCTTCCTTCAAACTCCTCTGCCTCTGAGCAGGGTTACTTCTCCACAGTTGCTCTGAAGACCACACCTACTATGATTTCAACCACCGGCTCTGCCCCAATCACTCCTGCACCACCAGCCTTAGCCACTCTCTGGAGTACCAACGATGAATCCACCTGCTCTTTCACAGCTTCACGGGAAATTCCACAGGTGCCTCACTCTTAGTATGTCCTGCCCGGATCAGTGATCCAGTGGTCTCCCATGGCAGGGTTCTGCTCTGCCTCCATTCTCACATCCAAAGGGTACCTGGCCTGCTGAGTCCTCTTCTGAAGTCCCCACCCAAGACAGCCTAATCCACACACCACTGCCCCAGCTCAGACCCATCCAGTCTCCTTAAACCATGACAATCAAGTTATATATCCCACACCCCAATCCTAACATCCACTCACCTTTTAATCACCAGCCAATGCTGAGGGAACTTGCCAGGTACAAGGAGGACCTGTCTTGCCACCTCCCAACTTTCTCAGCCCACCAGCCCCAAAACCACAAGGGCTAGCTTGGCCCTGGTAAACAATGGTAAATTCCCATTGAAAAAGTCATGAAGCACCTGCTTAGGCAGAGCACAGCAGCCCTGGTTCAATCCCAGCATGCCCTGCAGGCCCCGCCTCCTAGGACATGCTGAGCCTGCCAACTGACACTGGGCATGGTGGTGCAGGCCTGTAATCCCAGTGCTTGGGAGGCTGAAACCAGGAGAATCACTATGAGTCTGATCTTTGTAGTGAGACCCTATAGACCCTGTAGGCCCTGTCCTAAAATAAAAAAAGAAAGAAAGAAAAAGTCATGACTGGAAATAATTATTCACATATATACATACACGTGTGTGAATATGTAAATATAGACATATAAGATTCTGAAATTATTTTTCTTAAAACTTGAACAGCTGCTTCTATTAGCAGATAAGTAGCAAATGTAAGTTAAAGTAAAACTTCAGAAACGAGTAATGCACCTACTGCATGGCACTTGTGAGCTCATGGTGGTGATTCAACACCAGGGACAAAGAGACTGTCATGCTCAAAGGACAGACTTAAGTACTTCTATCCATATTCCCTGACACTTCACACAGAGCACTGGGACACACAGGGTTCTGCCCCGGGGACAAAGCTCAACTGCTCTGCCTAGCATCCTGAAGGCCTTCACACCTGAGGGCTCCGACCTGGCCAGTGAGTTATTGCCGTCTTTCTGAGGCTGCATGCACAGCTCCCCACCCACACCCACTGGCGCCAGCAGCAGCAAGCCTAGGACCTCTACCACAAAGTCCTCCTGGGATACCCACTCCAAAATGACTACTGTGTTTGGAACAGGACATCCCTGGCTGCTGACAGCACTGTGGCACTGCTCAGTTTGCAAAGGCCTCCTCTACCCTGGCTGGGCCCTGCTGAGGAAAGGCCTCCTCCACACCCCCTGAGGTGCAGCCCAGGCACACAGCAGGAGAGCTTAGTGCTGGAGAGACTGCATGGAGGAGGGGCAACAGGTGCAGACCCTGGAAACCCAACTCCAGAGCACATGGTTGTTCAGGATGGAAAATCCCACCTAAGGGCCACTGCACACACCATGGAAACCTACCCAGGACCTGCCACTCCAGGAGGCCCATGATCAAGGTAGTGACCGGTGCACACCGGCCTCTGGCCAGGCACTGACCCCAGGAATCTAGACACCACTCTATGCTGGTTCCTCTACTCTCCTTCACGGTAAGGGATTTGCCCCCTGAGATGTTGGTTCCCAAATATAAGCAGCCCCAATCTGATTGCAACACACACACACACACACACACACACACACACACACACATTGGCATTCTGAGTTCTCAGTCTGGGTTAATCTATAACCTGAGTGGTCAGGCCTCAATGAACAGCAACACAGGGCACGTGAGTAGAGTTGGAGGTAGAGGTGGCGGATAGAGGGTGCTGACCATTGCAACCACAGTTGTAACCCCAGCCGTTTCTGAACAGGCAGGGGCTGTGGACCTCAGAGGCCAAGCTGTTATGCCATGGGGCCGAGGGAAGGCTAAACTCGGGCCACACAAGTCTGGCTCCAAAGAAGAGGATGAAAGCCAGGTGTAACGGACTGACAAAGCAGTGCTTCTGACCTTTCCAACTCTATCTAGAGAGGTGGTGGGACCCCAGACGACCAAGTCCCGGCGGCAGGTGGAGGCAGAGGAGGCAAAAGACCTCTGGAGCACACGCACTCAGAGGCTGGCGGCGCTAGAGAAGAGCCCTACTCCCCTGCGCAAGCGCACACGCACCCACGCCGGTGGTCTGAGCTCCCCCAGGCTCACCTGGCTGCGGCCGGACAGCGAGAAGGTGGCGTGGCTGGAGAAGCGTGCGGTGCCCAGGCGGGGTGCGCGGTTTGGAACCCCGGGCGCGGGCGGGGGGCTGGGCGTGTCGGGCACAGGGGACAGCCCTGTCGCCAAGCCCAGCGCCTCCACCTGGCGCGTCAAGCGCTCGAGCTGCGCCTGCAGCCGCTGATTGTCTCGCTGCAGGTCAGCCACGGTGCGCGCCAGGGGGCCTGCCAGGCTCAGCGCCTCGGCCACGCGCCGCTCCACTCCGCGCTGCAGCCCCTGCATGTCCTCGTGCAGCGTGCGCACCGCGCCCTCCAGCGCCGCCTCGTATCTGCCCAGCGACTCCCGCACGGTGCGCGCCTCCTCAGCGTCGAGGGTTGACTCCATAGCCGAGCAGGGTGCACAGTCCTGC